TAGAAGTTACATAAGATTTTCTGAAAGTGGAGCATGTGTTGGATCGAGTTGAAAATGAGTCCGTTCTTATTTTTATTTATATTTATTTTTATAATATATAATTTTTTACATGGAGAAAAAGAAATGAATTTTTTTACAGGCAGAAGCATGGCTTCGAGAGCAAGCCCAAGCGATGGGTTGGTCTAAAGCGCAAAAACTTCAAGGTAGATCCACGAAACAAGGTCTGGTAGCTGTGATGGTGGACAAGAATCATGGAGCTCTGGTTGAAATAAATTGTGAGACAGATTTTGTAGCTCGAAACAAAACGTTTCACGGTTTGGCTGAGACCATAGTCGCAGCTGTTCTGAAATTCACAGGGGATCAAAAAACGGTAGACCATGTCCACAAAATGTTGATGGACGCAGAAACACTGAGAAATCTTCCAACAGACGACAGCAAGACTGTCGCTGATCACGCAGCACTCACTATTGGAACCATTGGAGAAAATATCAGTGTGAAGAGAGCTCTCTGCATGAGTGTCGATCCCAGCATTCAGCTGGTTGGTTGCACACATCCATCACCTGTCAACCCCATTCCAGCCTCTTTTGGAAGGTATGGAGCACTTCTGGCATTCAAGTCGCCATCTGAGAACAATCTTCTTGGAATGCAACTTTGCCAGCATATTATTGGTGAGAAAGTATTCGTACATAAAAATTGAAATGATATTGCATATATTCCCAAAATATTTTCTCTTTTTTTTATTTATATATATATTTTTTATTCATTTATTACTTGAAAAAGTTTCAAGTCCTATTTTCATTTAATTAATTGTGAGTGATTGTCATGCATTAAATTGATCTCTATTTTTTTTCTTCTAATTTTACAGGAATGAATCCATTAAAAATTGGTCAGCCAGATGTCGATGAACCTATACCCAATGCTGATGATGAAACAACCATGATTCACCAAGAATTTCTACTGGACCCAAGTCTAACGGTTCAACAGGTTCTGCTAGGTGCTCATACAGAGATCGTCGATTTTGCGCGATTCGAGATGGGAGAGAGTGCTGAACCGGAGTCTGAGGTGCCATTAGAGGACGCAGAACCGATAAAAAGTTGTGGTTAAACCCCAATTAATCCTCATTAAAAGCTATCAAAATCATTTAAACTTTACCCAGAACTATTCATGATAGACTTTACTCTGTCTCCTCAAAAAATATGTACATAAAAGTTTCGTTTACTATAAAATTTGATGATAGTATACCAAAAATAAATCTAAAGAAAAAAAGCGATGGGATAGAAAATGATTTCATGTTTTGTTAAGACTGGAATCGATGGAAGCGAATTTGACGAGTGACTTGGACTTCAATTTTCGTTTCCTTGCGAGCCTAACGGACTTCCATAGCCAAGTTCTCGAATCTTTTTTCCAAAATGGCGCCAGATCTTGCGGGAAATGTCTAATTCCCTGATGATTCAGCACTTCCGGCCCCTGAACTACTAGTCTCAGAGTAGAAATTTCTCGTGTCTTGAAGGCAATTGTTCTGCATTCTTGCATAGCGCAATCATCGCAGTGACACGTCTGAGTTTCCTGTGACTTACCATTGGGTCCCATGTCCTCACTTGAATTCTCTTGTTCTAATCCAAGCTTCTCGAATGCCACTGAGAAGTGACAGTGATCCTTACCATCACTATTCGCTTCCAAATAGGAGATTCGATCCTGAAGACTCACGTCACTGTAAGACTTTATGCGGAGATTTTGAATCCATAAATCCTCTACTGCAAAATTAATTGACATTTATCAATTTACATATCTCCATAAATCTGTAAGAAAACAATTCATCTCTGAATAGCAAATGATTTCTTGGTACTCATTCTATTCTTTCTGTATGATTAAAATTTCTATGTAAATAAAGAAGAAAAAAAATGAATGGAAAGTCAAATGAAATAAGAAAATTGACTAGACCATAAAAATGATAAACGCTCTTTAAAAAACTATAAACCATAATAAAACCACCAACAACTAGTCTTTGATTGACTTCATCCAAGTGATTTTTTCAACTAGAACCAAGAAATCAATTCTGTTGTTCTAAAAGGGCTGACTAAAAATACCACTCGAGTAATCTCCCTCTTCTTTCCTCAAATCCATCAGACGTTCATTGTCTCGGCCTCCACAGGAAGAAACGTTCTCTCAAAAAGGAAAAAAAAATCAGAAAAAAAAAACCAATCTGTCAAGATCTTCCTTCACAAAACTAATCTTCCTTTGTTTCTAACACCTTTCAATTTCCTTCCGGCCAAAAACTCCACTCAAATGATATACGATCGTTCTCGGATGCCCTAAAACTGCCGTACCCTTTCACCTGAATAGAAGAGAGCGAGAGAGAAATGATTCCCATTCTTCATTCATAGATTTAATGATTCCGAGAGAACGGTAAATCGTAACGTAGAATTTAATCATTATTGCGTTCCATTTCTCAGCTCAGAGAGAGAATACTCTTGCTATTCTCTCCGCACAGTTGAGGGCTGGTGGATAGTATTTCACGTCAGAAATTGTACGACAGGTGCGTTAGATAACGACTTTGAAGGTGAGTGTGTGAAGAGGTAAAAGAGTGCCGCATGGACGACTGTATGTATTCATGAGGTGCCTGTTGGTCACGGGTGGCCGCTTGGAGTTCCGGGGACCCGCTTCCGGAGTACTATGGTTTCTTTCTTTTTTTCTTTTTTTTTTTCAAAAATATACGCTGAATAATACGGTTTAAGTGTCAGTCGTACGTGAACAGTTAGCGGAGTTTCATCTCGCGAGGGTGACTAACTCAGTTTTTACGTTTTACTCATTAAAATTCGCTATGGGATTTTCTAAACGGGTGAGTTACTTTCCATTACTATCGTTTATGATTAATTGGA